ATGTGATAAGCCAGAGGTGTTAGGTTGTAAAAAGCTCAAGTATGGGGTTTCTACATCTAAAACTTGTTATAAATGTAAAGAATGTAGAATGGTATTGGCTAAAGCTGGTTGGATAAATGGAATAACTTACTTGATGATTTCGACATAGTCCCATAATATGGCTAAGGTTAGGAACTATAACTAAATAAAGCTATAATCTAGCCGAAATAGACTGTAGTAAATTTACTTTATTGTTAATCTTAAAAGTGATTTAGATGCCATTAAATTAAATGTGATTAATAAGTGTCGTGTTTGAGCTTGTCATTACACATTGCGAATATCTGACCATTTCGTTCATCGTGTACGATGGATCCCTATAACGTCGTCAGACCAGGAAAGCTCAAAATCAAGAATGAAAATTCAGCAAAGAAAGTGACAAAAAAGCGAAGGCATAAGGCTAGGGGCGAATCCTTGCTTCATAAGGATGCCAAAGCCCATGGCGGATGGTGGACAATATCGAATATCAAAGACATAAGCGGTTCAATCTCTATTGAATTTACTTCTGCTCAAAATAAACCAGATGACATTCCCCTTGGTATCCTCGGCCCACATTCCTTGTTGACCACAGCATATGTAACAGCTATGGATGATGGGGCACTCAGATTGGGTCCACCAAGGCCATACGGTGAACCACCTGTCCAAGAAGAAATGTTCACTGTCGTAAAACTGTCTGAATCTCAATTTGCATTTAAGTCTGGGTATATCTATTTACTGATAAATTTCATTTAGTTTTATTATATTCATTCAACGTGACAATATATTAGCATAATTGTTGATTCACATGATCAATATATCTTACTACGATATTAAAAGTTATTTCTTTTATATATGTCAACCTTTTGGTCTTACTCTAATTTCAGATATGGTAAGTACCTAGGGATAGCTCCTGGGAAGAATGGACTATTAGTGGCAACCGCCGACGCCATTGGTGACTTAGAACACATAGATCCAATATTTCAAGACGGAAAAATGGCTCTTCTTGGCGCGAATGGAAAATTCCTTACCTTTGATGAGGATAGTGCTGAAGGCGATATCTTCTTTGCTAGTGAGAAGGCTCAGGAAAATGAAATGATCATCGTGGGTTGAGTATTGTATGAATTTATTTTTGTTATAACACTATTTGCCTTCATATCTTTATTTTTGTGAAGGCTAAAGCCCTTTATATTGATGTACACGTATAATAGAGACTTAGACGTTTTTAGTAAAATTATTTGGCGGTTTTCCATCATTGGGTGTTGCATCATATTTTCAGCGTTTTTAGCTTTATTTATATAGATTGGCTAATGTTTTTGTTGTTTTTACTTAGCCGACTTAATTAAGATGTGCGATTTTTAGCCAATAAACTATTTTTTTATCCTCGAATAATTTTTTATTTATCATATCGATTACCTTCGGTAATGAAATATTTGACAGCCTTGTGCTTGCCTTGTTTTATTTATATTATTACTGAATGTCAAATTTTTTCATGCTTTTTTTCTTCATCCCTTATAAAGCTAGGCTTTCGAGACGTTTCTGAATAGTGATTTTATCATTTGTTTAATTAATAAATTTCTCGGTTTGTATTCGCTATTTTGCTGGACTTTTATCTAATTTCAATTGCCCATTTTCTGAAGGTATGAAGACCACGATGGTGTGGCCTTTTGTGTGGTCGCAGTCTCCTTTCGCTGTATAGAAGTTGTTTGATCTTGTTTTCGCAACTTGGTCATATTGGTCCATGACTTCCTATGCCCTAATCTCTTGAGGGCCAAGCCCACAAACGTTGTGGTTCAACATTGAACCTAATAAAAGCAAGCAGTACCACAACATTTGTGGGTTGACACA